ACCTAGATTCAATGGTAATGTTTTTATCACATAAAATGTTTTTTGGTTAATATTTTAATTATTTTTTTTTCTTTGTTATATACCCAAATTTCTCTATCAGAAATGACTTTTCAAATTTCTCTTATAACTTGATATGTTTAAAAAATAACTAACATGTGTATTAAATGTCATACACAATATGTTCATCCATTAAAATTAATTAAAAAACAAAATCTAGTTTATTAACAAGATTTTCTGCAGATAAACATTGTTAATAATTTGTTTTTAGTTATTAAATCGTCTCTTATATTTGGTACTTATGTAAATGACTCAGATGGTTATGTATATTGCTCATCTAAATTTGATTTGAAATTCGAATTGTTGGATTCCTGTTCCGAGTCTCTTTGTCCCTACTTGGCTTTCAATTCTTGCAGGTTGTTGGATTGCTCGTAGATTTGGGTTTTAGATTAGACTTCTCCGTGGTCGACGGTGGGCTTTAGATCCTGGCTGCAGGTTCAGATTTGGCCACTCTCACTCTCTCCATGTCCGATGCTTGAGGCGCTGTCAAATATGGGTAGAGGTTTGTGGTTCATTTTCCACTAAAGCTTGGTGTTTGGTGCTTCTGGTCCATGACTCGGTTTAGGTTGCTCGTGTTCTAGTATTCATGGGCATGTTCATCTTGGGTTGGGTTCCGTTCCTGTAAGCTCTCAATTCAAGGCATTGTTGGGTTTTTGGTTTGGTTGCTTAAAGATGTTGCTATTGTGTTCCCCTACTTCCGTTGAGGGTCCTCAATATATAGTAGTTAAGCAATGTTGGTTTTACGGATTGCTTCGTTGTTTGGTTTCGTGATGAAAAGTATCTCTCTCAAACATGACTGAAGGATGTGTTACGTATATGCGGTTTGCCCTCCTATTGTTAGTGTATTATAACATCTTCACCTTTTAGTCCAGCAGCTTCTCTCGGCATGTGGGGTTCTCTAGATTGTTTGGAGAGTATCGTCGGTTGTGATAGTTAAGCTTGTACCAATTTGCTAGGAGTTGTTAGCGATTCGTGATTTAGGAGCAACTCAATATCCTTTTTTTTTGTATTTTTTGCGTACATTTTGGATTTGTCGAGTTCTGCCTTAGCGTTAAAGTTGTTCATATTTTTTTAATTTAATAAGATACAAAGTTTAAAAAAAAATACTATATCAAATTTTGACGTTAAAATGTTTTTAAAACCAATAATTATAATAAGAAAGATGTGTGGAAGCGTTACTGGTGTCGACAGACAAATATTCACGTCCATTTCCCGAACAATTGTTTTCTTACAACTAAACGACACCGGTTCAGGTCGTAGACCCAACTCGCCTTGTTATTTGACTAATCTACCCTCCCAGTAGCCGTGTTGTTAGACTTTAGACCCGTCAAAGGTTTTTACTTTTTATAATATACTTATGATGATTATTAATGACACTAGATATGGGTTTTAGATATACTTTTCAACAAACTACGTAATCATAATTATCACGAACAATTAAGAGTGACACGTACTGAAATATTCCACATGTCACTCCACATCGCCGTGGGTATTGTTAGGAGCTCGCCACGTGAATTAAATGTTCATGGGCGAGTCATCACATTAGTTAAAACCTCGATTTTTCTTCTAAGTATTCGAATACCTTCAGCAATTACATAATTAATAAAAAATTTAAAGTGAAATCCGACAAAATACATAATCTTTCTTTCGCGGAAAATATAAATCAAAACCTTGTTGATAAGAAATCAATTAATGCTATTAATTTACAGCTCAAAAGTTGACCAACTGATGAATATTAGCAAAAAAAAAAAATGTTGAGTGTAATTTTATGTTGGATAGATGATAAAGACAGAACATAGAAACTAGTATCCTTTTTTAAATTTTCTAGGGCATAGAATCATGATTTGCATGGTTGGTCCATAATAAAGATAAAGTTTTATTGGCCTTTGTTTTTGCTTGCATATAAGCAAGTGGTCCTAAAAACGCAAGAACTAATAAGATTAACAAGATAAGGATAATCCTAAC